CACACATCAGACCAGTTTGACAAGGCCACTGAATTGCCCAATTTTCTTCTGAAAACAAGTTATAATACAATGATAAACCCCTAAAAATTAATAGTTAACATACACACAACTCATGCATAAAATACATAACCACATGTGTATAGTAAAGTATCTGTCACAAAACACAATTTTACTTTTTAACATAATCATGCATTGTAAAACATAAGAGTTATGCATTTGCATTCGTATTGAGCTGAAAATTGACTGATTCATTGGCAAGTGCAATCATGGACTCCTAGAAGTCCTGAAAGGTGCTTGACTGGACTTCAATCTAGCAAGGGCATCAGGCAAGTAGGGCTTACGCTTTAAGTCTCTCCACCCGCAACCCTGTTAGCCAGAGCCTGGAACTCGCTTGCTCTGATGCAAGGGAACAAGATAACTTGGCCAGGTGCAGGTAAAGTTGTCCAGTTAAAAAATCGGGTGCACTCAAGTCCCTGACTCCTGTCTGCGTAAGATTCATGGGTTACTACTTGCAGGGGGAGAGTCACGGAGTGAGCCCTGAGTCCCTGTCAATCTCATTGGTCTTCAAAAAACTCTTTGCCTCTGCCCTTGTATTAAGACTTCATAACACTTCCTTATCTTTTATCTTGGAAGACAATGCCTCTGAAACTGGTATGGCGTTTCTTTCTCAAAGGGATTTCCTTGTGACACACTTACACTCCTGAGGACTCATATCCAAGAAACTCACACAGGCTGAGCAAAACTTTGACAAACTATGCTAGCCATAAGTACTTGTTAGAGTGCACTGCTATACCCATTATGATACTGACATATATCATGGACTATGTACAATCATGTCATACATCTGTTCAAAACAAGGTTTCTCACCAGGTCCCTTGTGAGTTGTTACAACATTTACCACTCCCCCTTACCACTCTACCTCCATTTAAAGCAGGGTTTTCCAAACTCTGGCACTTCAGATGATGCAGAACTACAACTCCCACAATTATCTGGCTATCTAGTTCATTCAAAGAATCATGAGAGTTGTAGTTCATCAACATCTGGAGGGCTAGAGTTTGGAGAACCCCGATCTTAAGGAAAGACACAATCCTTATGATATTAGATCATTCCTGAAAAATGGAGCGCATTATACAACTCCTTGAGTTGACTAACTCTAATGAATTAGCTGACGTCTTTGTAAAAGAGGTTATCAGGTTACATGGTATTCCACAGGAAATTGGACAATTCAGTATATTGGGTTATGGAATATATCTCCAAATTCTAGGGGGTTCTGCATGCAAATCGGGATACAAGTATGATTTTCTTGTACTTATTGCCTACAGATCAGTGGGTTTGATGAAAGGGCTAATCAAGTTTTAGAATAATATCTGAGATGCTTCACCTTCCCTAATCAAGACATTTGGGTAGACCTGCTTCCCTGGGCTGAGTTTGCCCACAATGATTCCACATGTGTGTAAACAGTACACAGTCCATTTTTCATCAATGAATCATGGGCATCACCCATGGTCATCACTGACATTTTTTCCCTTTAAGGATATGTCCATGTTAGGTAGGGTGCCAAACCTGGGAGCAGGTCCACACTATCCTGACTTAAGCCACAGCTACTCACCGAAGATTTGCATATAGACATTGTAGGACATCTTCAGAATTTGCATATACCTAAAGTGTTCCACACCTCTTTACTCAAACCCCTGATGTGTAAAATGTTTACCACAAATATGCCTGCTATTGTTCATTCTGTTGTCAACTGACAAGAGGAGTATGAGATACAAACTTTTATTGATTCCCATCTATCCAGATGCTCCTTGCAATACTTGGTCCATGAGGAGAGATATGGATCTGAAGAGAGAGAGGGTTTTTCTGCTGTCTCTGATGTCCAAGCACCTAGACAGATTTCTTCCATATCAGGTTTCCCTCCTGTCCGCTGACTCACATAATGGTGACATAAGAGGGGGCATACTACCAGTACACCAGTATGTCAATCCCATACACATTGTCATGCAGTGCTTCATTACAACATCAGTAGTAGCTTGACCTATTTCTTTTGTTACTGTCATGCACACAATGCAGAGCATAATCTGAATTTTCATGGTACTGTGTAATATTAGATCATTTTTCTTTAAACAAAATTTTGGATCAGTTCCACTCATCTCTCACTTATTTATAGCTTTGTCACTTAAATTGGTGCTATTGTCTTTTCAAGTGTAATTTACAGTTATAAAATGGTACTAACATTAATTGAAGAAGCAGCAACGAGCCAGAGCATTACAAATTAAACTTGCATTAAGATAAATATTCACCAGTCAAATTCTCCTCCTCATGCAATGAATTATGGTGATTTTATAGAAATAATTAATGGGAAAGGATTTGAATTTCAGCATAATGGATTTAAAAAAAAAAATGCAGGAAAAGCATCTTTTAAAATTAGAACCTGCCCAAATAAAACCTGTACTCCATCCTAATCGTGTTCTTATTTATCCTGAAATTTGTTCATTATTGACATGAAATTTCTCAAACTGTAATTTAAAAAGTAGCAGATAGAACTATTTTAAAATAAAAGTTTACATGGTGTATTCATCCTAATTTTTTTAAATAAAAAAATTGATATTCGTTTCATATTTATATATTTGTGTTTTTTTTTATCTGTTGTGAGTTTAAGTGTTTTTTTTGGGGGGGGAGGTTGTATTATATAGTCCGTTTCTACGGAGTCCTGGGACTAATTCAAGGCATCAAATCACACTTTTTTTGTCATAGTTTTCTATGTTTTTGGTTTGTATGGAGAGAGAGAGAGAGAGAGAGGGAGAGAGAGAGAGAGTTTTAAGGACCCAGAGCGTGAATAGGAGATTTAGTGTGTGTTTGTGTGCATAGAGGATTTAGAATGTATATAAGGAATTAGTGTGTGTAGATGATCCAAAGTTGTGTAAAGGATATAGTGTGTGTCTGGAATGTAATGTATGTATGAGGGGTACTGTGTGTATGTGAGGGTGTTGTGTGTGTGTGAGGGGTGCCGTGTGCGAGGGTGTGGTTTGTGTGTGGGTGAGGGGGTGCTGTGTGTGAGGGGTGCTGTGTGTGTGTTAGTGGGGCTGTGTGTGTGGGGGGTGTCAGGGGTGCTGTGTGAGAGGGTGCTGTGTGTGAGGGGTGCTTTGTGTGTGTGAGGGGTGCTGTTTGTTAGGGTGCTCTGTGTGATGGTGCTGTGTGGGGGGTGCTGTGTGTTAGAGAGGGTGCTGTGTGTGAGGGTGCTGTGTGAGTGTGTGTGTGTGTGGGGTGCTGTGTGTGGGGTGCTGTGTGTGGGGGGGAGGTGGGAGGGGAAGAGATTAAGGTAACTATATACCTGTAATTTTTTATTTTAATTAAAAAAGCACTGTATCCCCCCTCCCTTCTGTCCTGTAGCCTGGCAGGGGGGACCGTGCAGCCATCCCTTGTGGTCCTAGTGGTGAGAATGAATGCTAGCTTGCAGGCAGTGGCATACATACCAGGGTTGCAGGGGTCGCGGCTGCGACCGGGCCCGGCCCACCAGGGTGCCCGGCCGTCCTGCGACCCGGTATGTACCCACTGTGGCCAGCCTCTTCTCCTGGGGGTCCCAGGAGTTGGCCACCTCAGGGCCCCCCCGAGGCTGGCCCCATGTGTATCTGCATGCACTGGCGTACATACCGGGGGGTTGCAGCCCTGCGAACAGGTGCCCGCCGCCATGTGTTGCAGCCCCAGCCCGCGCAGAGTAAGCGCGCGGGGTGGGGGGCCATGGATCAGTTTTCGCACTGGTGCCCTGTGGGTTGTGTGTACGCCACTGCCTGCAGGGCTAGAGTTCACTCTTGCGAGATTGGAGTGTTTCCATGGTAACAATGGCCATGCTCCAACCTCGCAAGAGGAACCCGGCAGAGCTGCAAGCCAGAGCTCCCCGGGTCCTCGTCTCCCTCCCTCCCTTCCTCCCTCCCCAGCCGGTGGCCACATGTCAATAACTGTGGGCCGGTGAACCAGGACCGGCGCTTGGATAGTGCGGGTTCTGCATGGGCAGACAGTGGAGATCTTTTGAGGTATTTAAAAGGTAAAAGTTTTTATAAAAGTATTATATTTACCTCACACTTGCAGTATTGTATTATTTGTTGTTTTTCCCTAAAATAGTTTCTCATGCAACATGGGGGCTTGATATGAGCTCCAAATAAGATTATCTATATGTGACTGTAGACCCAGAATACATGCTCGAGTGAAACTGTAAATCATACAGATCACAAACAGAAAGAGTAACTAGTCATTAGAAAAACAAAATTTAAGGCTCAGACCCAAATTGAAGAGTCCTTTTGAGAAAACTGAAGAAACTAGTGATTGTGTCCTTGTTGCTGCAGTCCAAGTCAGGTAAAAGGCCGTATGTTGTCAACATCCCAACTTTCCATTAGTAACTCCATTAATCTTTGCTGGCACCTAAAATGGTGTTTGGGGTATCTCAAGAAAGAGATATCTGTCATTATGGCATGACTTTCATAAATATCTCTCATAGGGTCTGCCATCTCACTTTGACTTCAATGTCTGCTATATTCCACTGGTGGTATGCTTATGTAATGGATCACCTGGCACCCCGACTGGGTACCTCCGTTGAAGGATGCTCCTAGCGCTTCCTGAGGACTCCACTCACTGCAGCAGACACCACAACCACCGCAACCGCTGTAGCTTGACTGGAGTCTCGCCGTCTTCCTTCCAACCTGGATCAGCTTCTGTCCTCCAGGACCGTGTGGGAAAGACCTCTTCCTTCCACCCTGTATGAACCTCCAGCATCCAGGACTGTGTGGTGAAGACCTCTCCTCCAAGGAGAGCGTGTCAGGAACAAGCTCTTAAAAGAGCTAAGTGATTCAAGTTCAGGTGAGTATGCAGAGCATAGCAATCCCCAGTGTGATTATAACAGCTCCCTCCAATAACGAGACAAGGCTACGTTTAGAGGGATCAAGAAGAACTGTCTAAACCTTTATTTCCCTTGGGACCAGCCCATCGGGTCACCACAATAACATCGTTGTGAAACCTCAATAAAATCACAAACAGTCAAACCATAGCAGGCAACACACAGTGACTTATCACAACACAATGGCACATTTTTAAAGGGGTGGGGGAGACAATATTTAACAGTAAATATCTCACCTGCCTGCAGAATTAGCAATATGCAAATCTACCCGAATATGCAAATGAACCAGTCTTGCAATTCAGGTAGTGCATATTGCTGTTGCTACCAACAGAGAGCACTAGACAAGCTCCATAGCCAAACCCACCTAGTTGGTAGCAAACCTCAGCAGTACAGGAGAGCAGGCAATACATTTCACAGTACACACACACACACTATAAACAATTACATTACACACACCCTGCACCTATAATGGGTACAGGGTGACTAAAACATAAGATAAATAAAGCAACCTACATAAATAGTCTGTCTGAAGGTAGAATAGGGGCTTTAAAGCCAAATACATCAAAGAGTCATAGTCACAGGGGAGGAGGCTGGCAAGCAAGCCTCTCCAGGACCAAGTGGCGAAGGGCACTTCGTCACAGCTTATATTTGTTTTAAGTATCCCAAGTCACTTTTGGTGCAGCAACCCAATTTCCACCATATCTACATGAACATAAGTATAATGTTGTCCGTTAATGTCTCAATGGAGTTTCACCTTGTTGGCAGGCGTTAAAGAATCCTTGACTGCCTAGTGAGTACATGAATCTCTTTCCCGAGTGATCTCCTGCAGGTCGCTAACTTTCAGACCAGGTTCCATTTTGGAATACTCTGTCAGGTATTTTATTTTTTGAAATATCACCTTGCCACTACTTGGAACTCTTGGATTCCAAACTTGGTAAATGCTGAATTCTCATTGATTAAAGATCTTTGAGATCCGTATTTGTCTCTTAAACTGCCATTTGTCTCAGAGCTTACATGCAGAATGCCCACTCAAATTGTTTGTGACCTCTGCCCTTCTTATCTGGCATTTTTTATGGTTTTTAAGTTTTAGTCCTTTTGAAAAAGTGATTGAGCGTTTATGAGGTGTTTTTTTTATATACATTTTTTCATGAGTTACACCTTATGACCACATTTTACTCGGTAATAATATATTTCTTACAAAATATGTCTATGGCATTTTCCCTCTGCCATCCTAAAGGCTACTTCGTCAAGTAAATCTCGGCTGTACTTATTTGTTCCTTTGTATCTTTTTAACTTCTACTAGCTAAACTATAAGAATCAAAGTTCAATTTTTCCAGATTGTATTGGACTACATAACCCATAATTCTCTAGCATCAATTGGAAAATGCATTCTTTCAACAGTTGGAGGAACACGTTTTATTACCCCCAAACTAAAGCAGTATTCTCCTACTCTGTCCTGGCAATGTCTTTACTGGAAAAATAGCTGAGATGGGCTACTCTTCAAATTTGGCTTTTCTGGCTATTTTGGTGAAACTCCATTTAAGTTTCTAATTGCCTTACACACTCCTGCTGTCTCTCTTGTATTGCATATAAATGATGAGCAAGTTGTTAAGATTCTAGAATGTTAATTAAGAAAATGTGAGCTGTAACAGAGTTGATTTATTGAAGAAATGTCCTGTCATAAGTTATCGCTGTATCGTTTTTTTCCCTTTCAGAGATGTTCTGAAATAAGGAAATTATATCAATTAAATTATTATATTCTCTATTACATTATATTAATATAATCCTAGATTCTACTGAAATTAAACACAATTTTTGTTAAAAGATTGCAGTTTTTCTTTTAATCTGGGAAGAGATTTAAGAGGAGAGATGTTAAACAGATATTAAACTTTTTCAACAGACAAAAGTAGAAAAAAAAAAAAGATATCTTATTTTATTTTATTGACCTTTATCACTAGATCAAGCCAATCTGTGTTGAATAAATGCATACAGTTCTATCATAAAACCCAATGCAAGAGTGTCCAAATATGTCCCTCCACTAATGTTCCACTAATATTCAGCTATAAAAGCAATTCTCTGGATTGTAGTGGCTCGATATCTGGAGGCTGAATAAATGGACACTCCTGGCAGAGTTTGTTACTGGAATCTAGAGTCATTTCTGGACACTCATCAGTAATGTTTCTAAAGGTTCCCATACTGACAGGGGTTGTCGTATGTGAAGATAAGAGGATCACTCACTAGTTTTTTGTATACCAACGATTGTTAAGATTCTAATATTCCTACCACTTTCCCCGCTCAAACTCTAAAAGAAGCCAATGGCTGTGCATTAAACACTTCTGGTATTAACAGTGATATGTTGTGGTATATTTTGTTAGAATTCTGCAAACGTGGGATATTATCCGTCCATTGGCTTCTAACACCATGTCTTATTCTTCCTAGGGGCAAGAAAATAGTATCAGAAGAAAAAGGTTCTCACTCAGGGAGCCGACCAGGCCACAGGTTGTATGACACCACAAGGAGGATATTATAAGTAATAGATGAAGGACAGTGAGCAGTACTAAACAATATTCTTTCAGAAGGTATAAATGGACTGATTTAATATTTGCAGCACTGGGTCCTAACCAAAGGCCAAGTATTAGAACTCAATCAGGTAAAGTCAGGTTATTCCATGCGAGGGGGACAAAAAGACAAATACTAACGTGTTTCTGTCAGACTTGGCTCTTCACCCAAGATATCTTCAATACCTATAGCACAGGTTATGACAGTACATTATTTACAAATAGCACACCTCCAAAACCAAGATTAACCAATAAAAATGCAAGAGAGCAAACGTTGTGTTTGCTAATGTTATCAAGACAATATGAAACCGAAGGTTCTTAACTGATAATCATGCATCTAAATTACTGTATTGTTTTCCACATTTTCTTATGTCTCGCTATCATTGTTTGGGATCATTTTCCTAATTTAATTCCCACTCATTGTAGGAGACATGTTGGTATCTTATAGTTTCCTTTTGTTTGTTTTTCAATAAACTTTTCCTCTTGACAATATGTATGATTCTTCAATATTTTGAAAGATATTCTGTCAAGTCTTTCTTAGTCATTTGCAGTTTTATTCACTACCATGAATTTCAAATTTAAAGTGACACTTCAGTGCCAGGAAAACAAACTCTCCCTTCCACCCCCCATCCCAAGTTGCTGAAGGGGTGAAAACCCCTTCAGTGACTTACTTGAGACCACCGCCGATGTCCCTTGGTGGTGGTTTAGGGACCGCCCACGCTCCTCCCCTCCGCTGACGTCATCCGGCGGGGAGACCGATTGCGCATACGCGGCCGCCGGCTGGGGAGACCTAATGCCGCGCACGCGCATTAGACCTCTCCATAGGAAAGCATTGAAAATGCTTTCAATGCTTTCCTATGGGGATTTTAGCAACGCTGGAGGAAGTGCCCTCTAGAGCCACTAGAGGAGGAGTTAACCCTGCAATGTAATTATTGCAGTTTATAAAAACTGCAATATTTACAGTTGCAGGGTTCCACCTGAACTGTGAATGTTTACATGGTGTGTTCAATAAAAACATGGCAACATTTCATTCTTTGTGTGTTATTAGTTTAAGCAGACTGTGATTGTCTATTGTTGTGAACTAGATGATGATCAGATCACATTTTATGACCAATATGTGCAGAAATCCATATCATTCCAAAGGGTTCACATACTTTTTCTTGCAACAGTAGGTGGCTTGCCCCTCCTTACTCCCCTTAGAAAAGGTGAAAACTCACCTTAATTCCAGAGCCGCGCAGGTCCATCGACACTAGCCCCACCCCAATCTTCCTCCTTGGTGATCATCAGAATGTATGACTTTTAGCCAATCAAATGCTTTCCCATAGCCAATTTTAGCCAATCAGCACCTACTCGTAGAGATGCATTGAATCAATGCATCTCTATGAGGAAAATTCAGCGTCTCTATGCAGAGCGTAGAGACAATGAACGGCAGCACTGCCCCAGGAAGGAGCGGCCACTGGAGCTAGGGGGCAATGTAAACACTGCCTTTTCTCTGAAAATCAGGGTAAATCTGACAAGAGCCCAGGCATTCAACATACTAATGCTCTTCTCAGTCATCATGTCAGTTCACAATGCCTTTAACCCCTTAAGGAGACATGACATGTGTGACATGTCATGATTCCCTTTTATTCCAGAAGTTTGGTCCTTAAGGGGTTAAAACGAGAACTGGAACCAAATTGGCTTTAAAGCTGTACAAAACAGCTCCTGAAAAGGGGGATTGATTTGACCCTGCAAATTTCAACAAGAACGTAGGGGGAAAACGTTTCTCCAATGCTACACAAATATAAGTATGGAACAGTCAGGATGAAGCTTCTACCAGATAGGCACACATGGTTCTGCCATAGTTGCAGCCTGATAGTCTGGCCTAGGTCCTGCAAAGCAAAAGGAGTGCTGTATCCTCAAGTAGATGCGCGACACAAAGCTGCAGCACTCATGTACATCAACCATGCGCATGTGCAATGCCTTGGCTCTGCTTAATGCTCACACGTGATCATCAACCTAAGCATTCACAATGATAAATAGGGACACAGGTTTGATGGAACATGACTTTTACACAGAGTACACTTTTACTGTTTATGCCTAAATACAATTTCCCTCTTTTATCTAGACCAGGCATAGGCAACCTTCGGCACTCCAGATATTTTGGACTACACCTTCCGTGATGCTTTGCCAGCATTATGGGTGTAAGAGCATTATGGGGGATGTAGTCCACAACATCTGGAATGCCAAAGGTTGCCTATCCCTGATCTAGACCGTGGTCACTTGTGTGATATCACCAAGTGTTGCTTTTTTGGTCATGGACATTTCTCAATCTTTATGCTGTTTTTTCAGTAGTGATTTGCATTTTCAGTTCACTCAATGAGGTTATATTTTTTACCTTACCTAGGTGTGTCTCATAGTACAATCAATTTGTTGATAAATACCCATTCATGATTATCCGAGAATTCTTCAAATCTTCCGAGGATAACTCAGCTACTTTTGACAAAGCGCCTCTTTCCAAAACTACTGTGTCTGGTGAAGGAACAGCTCTACAGATACCTGGCAGAGACCCACTGTTGAAAAAAAGGTACTTTAAATAATACGGAAAGGAATTAAGACACAACTAATGATCTGGTATTAAATCCATTCATTTTGCACAGGCTAGAGGTTTCGTATAACATTTGTCTGCATATTTCTTTTATTAAATATGTTTTCAACTTTTCAATATTAAAAAATAAATAACAGAAATGTGTTTCATTAGAAAAAAAAAAATGATACAAGTATGTTTTCTTTTCATTTGTATTTATTGCCAATATGTTCAATTTAAAAGGAATGTTATTCAGATGCCAACAATCTTTTTTGTTGTCTTTTCCAAATGATGTCCTTTGATATAACTTCCCGTGGAGATTTTCTTTTATTACAAAAATGAAGGCATGTATAAAATGCAATTACTTTCATTCACTAGGAAAACT